AAAGTACAGGCAATGTGAGCTGATTGTGCAACTACTTACCAGGGGGATAATGAAACTCTGCGTGAGCTCCAACAGGTGTCGCCTCAGGATGGCGCTCTGCACCTCCGACGGCCGCTTCCTCTGGATCCCCTGCAGGTAAAGAGTCCGTCAGCGACACTCTGCATTCCCCGTGTGTGCGGTGTGGTCAGGTGTGCTCACCTTCAGCAGCCTCTTGATCAGGATCTTGTCCTTGTGCAGAAACGTCTTGTAAGCCGTGTAGATTCCTGCCAAAACAAACCTTCAGCATGACAGACATCTACCTGAGCTCAGGTACAAACACGCCCCCACCGGCTTACCTGGTTTGGTGTCAAGCGTTTTCAGCTTAGAAAGTTTTTTCACTTTCACCTGCTTCGGTAAATCACCTGGAAGACATCAGAGACAGGACACATACGTGAGTAAAAGGTCACAACAAGAACGGCGAAGACGACCTGAACAGCACACGCCTGACAGCCATGACACTTCACACGGACAGGAAGCTCACAGTGAACATGCAGGAAGAGGAGGAATACGGCGTACCTGCCATCTTGACCTCTCCCAGCCGGACGATGTGAGGCCAGCTCTGAAATGTCTTGATGAAGAACGGGTTGGTGACACCCAGCACGACGCTTGGTCTGAACAAGAGAAGAAGAAACAGGTAATCACACGTGAGGCTGGAACATCTGTCGACCGCTTTCCTAAACTTAGGCTTTAAGTGTCCCAAGGGTGTGTTTACAGCACAGGTGTGTTCAGGCTCCAGGTGAGCATGACTCACGGCGCCTGCGTCCTGGTGGTGTATTCCCTGAACTCGCTGTCATGGATGGTGAAATAGGGTCGGAAGTCACAGCAGAACTTCAGAGGGCTGATGGAGCTGTGGACACACACCGTTATCATGGTAACAACAGAAACACCATACTCTGATTGGATGCTGGGGGCTCGTTGTGACCCCTCAGTTACCTGATAAGAGCCAGGACTGTTTCCGAAGAAACGGTGGGAGATGGAGCCATAATGACAAGCGGCTCCCCGAGCAAGGTAAGTTCCCAGAGCATCTGCAGGTGGATTAGAATGGACTGGAAACACCTGAGCAGGACACAGGTGAGACTGAGATTGACCAATCAGAGAGCACACCTACACCTGAGAAACATAGAACACCTTAACGAGTACTGACTTAAACAGGTCCAGCTCGTGGATGGTGGGCAGGAGGGTCGGCACCGGCAGCAGGTTCTGAGCATTCATACAAAAAACTTTATTAACAACAACAAGAATAAACATTATTAACAAGATCAAAGCAACAAGACCTCACCTCTTTAGCCGTCTGTCGCACCGGACTTCCCCCAGGTTTGTCAAATTTAGAAGGAATCCTCACCTGAAACATGAGACACACAAACACCTGTAAACCACATCCCTTCTGTCACCTGTGAGCCAGGCCACTTCTCTCCTCACCTGTAAGATAACGCCCATTACGGGCAGGTTGAGGGTCTGCCCAGGTACAGGTGAAGGCCATTGGTCGATCTCGTTACAAACTACGGGGATGAGCAGAGGAAAAACACGTTAAGGACCATTCTGAAACCTGATTGGCTCCCAGGTATGATCCAAGCATGATGTCATTACCTGCTTCAAGGCAGGGCTCATGCTTCTCAAAGAACTCCGGTGCAATGGTTTGCATCAGCGAGTGGAACAGGTGAGTGTATGGCAACCTGGACACCAGCACCAGGGACTGAAACACAGAGTCAAATGACTATCACCGTCATGACCACCTGTGAGCAGGTGAATACAGGTGAACACAGATGTGTTTGGTGACCTTCTGGAAGTAGCCCCTCTTCACAGAGACGTCCTTCACTTGTCTGAAGTAGACGTAACCGTAGAAATGCGCCGTTTCTCTCTGACAGACAGAACAGAAATGTTACGCACCTGTGAGGCTGAAGCAATCAGCCATTCAGGAACCAGGTGAGTCTCACCTGCAGTGTGACGGGAGCGTCACGGTTGTAAAGGTCGTCTCTGAGCCTTGATGTTCGGCGACCGACAGACTGACGGAAGCGGAAGCTAAACTGAGTGTCCCCAAGGCACCCTGGGAAATAACAGACAGCCCATGTGACCTCTGACCTCCAACCTCTGACACCTGCAGTATTAATTAGCATTACCTCAGCTTACCTGAGTACGAGTCAGGGAAGGACAGGTAGCAGATGCTGGTTTTCTGTCAACACGAAACAGAATCAGTGAAAGTGTAATCAACAACACTTACAGGTGATCAGGAAGCTGAAGATATTTACCTCTTTCTCTGTCAGCTTCACATCTTGAGGATAAACCAGCTGAAAGTAAACACAGGGGAAAACATTTCAGAATCTGCAGAAAATTCTGATGTTTTTAAGTTTTTCCAAACTGAGATAGCAAGAGAATCAAGACAATCGATAGCAAGAGAGGATTAATTTAACTTGCATGTCGCCCTTTGTTACCCACAATCTTCTGATGAGCAGTTGCACAAAAAGTATAGAGTCTATAATATTTGAAATGGAGTTTTCTACACCAGGTCTGCAGATATCTTACAAACTCAAACCAAACCCCAAACAAAAAACAATAGTTTAATTTAAATGTATTAAATTTAAGATTAATACACACAAATCACACTTCAGGTAATCGATTGGTTCTATGAGCTCAAGAGCAGTCTGATATTGTTATTATTTGTATTGTATTACAAAATCTATCAGAATAATAATGAGGAAACAATGCGTTTTTTAAAACACGGATTGGTGCTTCTAGGCCAACATAGCTGTCTTTAATCCACAGATACAACTCCTTGAGTCCCA